TGCAATCTGGAAATTCCAGATTCTGCACTTCCACTCGAGCGGCAAGAGCTGCGTTCGAGCGACCACTCTGTGATCTTACACTTCCGCTCGAGCAATCTGAAGTCCGCTCGAGTGTGAAATGCGAGCTCCTAGAAGATTCATGTTTTTGTAGACCGCTCGAGCAACAAGAGTTACGCTCGAGCGAGGACCTGAGTCTCACACTCGAACGACCGTCGAGCGTTCGTCGAGCGTGAAAATCACACAACCAATACTTTTTCAAAGTTTGCAGACCGCTCGAGTGAAGGAAGTTGCGCTTGAGCGTACCCTCACATGTTTGCATGTCCGCTCGTGCGAAGGAAGTTGCGCTCAATCGATACCCCTGTTTCCAGCAAAGTTTTGTAAAACATGTTCAAGTGCATTTTGACATCCACATTGCATCCTAGGCATTCCTAGACCATAATTAAGACTCAATAAGAAATTAAGACCTAGAAACACACTAAGTATGGAATGAAATAAGTTAAGTACCAACCGAGTGTGTATTTCATAATGTGTTTCTGCTATGTGTATGTAGGTCACGTGTCACAAGTTATCTGATCTATTTGTTCTGTAAATAGAGCCATCTGTGAGTAATAACTTAGTAAAGCTATGTTTAACTTTAATTATTTTCTGAATGATATGAATTAAGATCGGTTTTATGCAATGTTATATTCTGTATAATGAATGATTGTCCAAGTTTTTTTAAATGTATTCGTGATATCCTTAGCACAATGCCCTTGCCCGGGGGTGATAATACTGTGGTCTACAAGTACAAGGCCCTTACTTGGGGGTAACAATACCGTGGTTTCATATCGGGGGTAATAATACCGTGCCCCAAGTATATTACAAGTTTCCCGGTACCGGAGGTTCCTTATGGAACTAACAAGCATGATAACGCTAATAGATATATCATGTATGATTAAGCATGAACTTTGATTTCCATATGTAGTTTGAACAAGAATATGAATATACATCTGTTTTTAATATGAATTCTGATTTCTGAATCTGTTATGGACATCATTCATTTAAACCCTTTACTCTGTTATTATTCACTGGGCTCCCGTTCACTATTTATTTTATATATGTAGGTGAGCAAGCGCGTAACCAGGCCTAAGCTGCTGCTTGGAATGTTCTGAGTCAGCCAACCACTGTGCCTCCCAGGGAGGTTCCTTTTTGAAATGTTTAGTTCTGTAACCTTGCTACATATGTTTTTGCTTGTTTTGCTTATCTGTACATTGAACAATGTTCCCTTTTGGCATTATCTGTGTTTTTGGGTAACGTAAGACTAATGTATGTATGACGTCACATATATACATATATATATATGTATATTTGTAGTTTTGAAGTTTTCTGTCTCATATACGTTAACATAGCTTTATGGACATTGTATATTTTCTATATTTGCTTCCACAGCCCCTTATTATATATCATTCAGTTAAGAGGCATTTGGTAATCCAAGGATTACTGGTCGGTTACGACGTTAAACGTATAAGAGTGGATTTGGGTCGTAACATTAGTTTTATCCTTACTTGTTACTTTTGGACACACTTCTATCCTTTGATTTTTAATTTGCATCAAATGGGCTTTTGCCCTAATGTATGAACCTTTACGTGTAGCCCGACAAAAGTTACATTGAAAAGTATAGTTCCCCCCTCTTGCACCAATTTTTTCTAATCTAATCACATATTTTCACAGTGGCTTATCATCTTCAACATCAAAGGCAGATTGTGTGTTATTAGTAGAATTTGAACTAGACATTTTTCCTATAAATTGTAACCATTATAAATTAACATTAACATTAGAAGGGGGAAAAAAAAGAAGAAGTTTTACATACTGTGTGTATATATATAAACCTATAATTTTTTTTATTTAAAAAATACAGTTTTAGAGATATATATACATATATATAAACATATAATTACAAAAAAATAAAAATAGTATATATATAAACCTATAAAAAAAATAAAAACAGTATACAATCGAGCGTGAGAGAGAGAGAGAGAGCTTACCTTCAAAGTCGTCTGGATGGAAGACAACTGGATGGAGCTTGACTGATCGATTGAGAGAGAAGGTCTTACCTTTGATCGACTTGATGGGGTTGGGCGTCTTTGATCGACTAGATGGAGGTGGTGGAACGATTGGTTCAAATCGACTGATGGAGGTCTTCGATTGGTCTTCTTCCTTTGATCTTTTAAATCTTTTTTTTTTTTTACTTTTTAAATATTACACTTTGACCTCAAATAAATATAACAAAATTAAAAATGAGCCCCGTCGTGTCCCATGCTGTGGCCTGATATGGACACGTGTGTCCACGCCGTGTCCCCTACAAAAAAATCATTAAATTAAAAGGGACACGCTATATGGCGTGTCCCGTACATGTCCCCGGCTTGTCCACGTGTCGGATATCGCCACGACACCGATGTTGGAGTGTCCATGCTTCATAGGATGTAACTGTGTCAAGGCAAAGATTACTTATGTGAAAAATGGATCTAACTTTTTTTGACGAAATTGTGTAAGGTTCAAGTAGGGATATAATCAGTTCGGTACAGTCGATATTTACGTAAAAGATTTTACTAAATTGATAATGTTGGTTTTCTTATTTTGAGTACCGATACAGACCTCTTCTTCCATCAAACAGTACCGAACTGAACCGATTGAAATAGTTTGGTTGGGTTCAATTTAATCAGTTTAGGACTTTTTAAATTTGAGCCACTTTTAGTATAGTCACTAATTTATATAAAAACACTGAACACCACTTCAAACATATTCAATCCATCCGTTTAATAAATACTTTTCAATTCCTAAATTAACAAAAATACAAACAAAAAAAAGTTAAAAAATATTAAGATTTCAATAATAATGAGTTAGAATTAAGATTATATATTGTAAGAGTTTATAAACTTAGGTTATAGAGATTATAAGGTTAATTAATTAATAATAATAATTTATTATACTTATTAAAATCATTATATTATTAAATTATATACATATATTAAATACAATATATATTGAAATAATCAATTTCGATTTAGTACGGTGTACAAAGTGTTTGAGCCGAAATTAAAAAAAAATTAAATTAAAAAATTACGCAAACCAATTTTTATTAAAAACAAATCAAATGTAATCGATTTCGTACGATTTAATCAATTTGGTTGATTTTTTTTTTTTTTTTTTTTCTCACACTCTTACGCTCCAGGGACAAAGCCTCAGGTTCTTTACTGGCCTCAACAAAAATGATTTATTATCTCCTAAGGATTTGTAGTTAGGAAGAGGGAAAAATTAGTCTACGCATCCTCCACAGAGAAGTTTTTCGTCTCATAAACGTTAACATAGCTCTATGGACATTGTATATTTTTTATATTTGCTTCCGCAGTCCCTTTTTATATATCATGCAGTTAAGAGGCATTTGGTAATTCAAAGATTACTGGTCGGTTACGACGTTAAACGTATAAGAGCGGATTTGGGTCGTAACATTAGCTTTATCCTTACTTGTTACTTTTGGACACACTTCTATCCTTTGATTTTTAATTTGCATCAAATGGGCTTTTACCCTAGTGTATGAACCTTCACGTGTAGACCGACAAAAGTTACATTGAAAAGTATAGTTCCCCCCTCTTGTACCAAATTTTTCTAATCTAATCACATATTTCCACAATGGCTTATCATCTTCAACATCAAAGGCAGATTGTGTGTTATTAGTAGAATTTGAACTAGATATTTTTCCTATAAATTGTAACCATTATAAATTAACATTAACATTAGAAGGGAAAAAAAAAAAGTTTTACATACTGTGTGTATATATATAAATAAACCTATAATTTTTTTTATTTAAAAAATACAGTTTTAGAGATATATATACATATATATAAACATATAATTACAAAAAAATAAAAATATGTTAATGTAATGTAAATAGAAAGGAGGCTATAATGTGGGTTTTGCTTCATGTGTTCTATTCCTTTAATCTTTGTCAATGGATCACAATGTTTTATTGATTTTGCAATGCTTTAATGATAGAAGAGTTTTCTTTTGATTTCTTTTGATTTGTGTGCATTATTTGATATTTAATTTTTTTATATTTGATTTGTTTGGAATTATAGAGTATAATCTGTTAAATATATTTTTATAACTGTAATTTAATCTTAATATTTTTACACCGTATCTTTAGGTACGGACATACGCTAGTATATATATAGAGCTTATTTCGTTGAAAGGTCAAACAAATATATATAAAGGTCAAATAAATATATATATTGAGCTTGTTACGTTGAAAGGTCAAATAAATTGACCGACAAATATTGCAAGCGAAAGAATCCCAAGGATTATTAATAAGGGCAATGCTAGATATCTCTAATTTAGAGGCTCTAACACATTTCTAATGAGGTAGAAAAGGTAAAAAAAAAAAAAAAACCAAGACACAGCACTGATGTGGCAGTGAGTGAGACCCACTGCCACGTCACTAGTGGTACCTCTAATTAGAGGTCCCAAGCATTTTTCTTAAAAAATTACACAAACCAATTTTTATTAAAAACAAATCAAATGTAATCGATTTCGTACGATTCAATCAATTTGGTGATTTTTTATTTTTATTTTTCTCACGTTCTTACGCTCCAGGTATAAAGCCTCAGGTTCTTTACTAGCCTCAACAAAAATGATTTATTATCTCCTAAGGATTTGTAGTTAGGAAGAGGGAAAAATTAGTCTACGCATCCTACACAAAGAAATTTGACTGTCTCTCTCTCTCTCTCTCTCTCTCTCTGCAATCTTCAAAGTCCAGCGATCCAAACACTGATCGGCCATTTTCCTCATTCTAGGGCGAGTTCATTTCTCTGCAATCTTCAAAGTCGGGCGATCCGAACGCTGATCGGCCATTTTCCTTCTCATTCTAAGGCGAGTTCATTTCTCTCTCTCTCTCTCCCTCTCTCTCTCTCTCTCTATATATATATAATTTCTATACCACTCGTACACCACATACATATATATCTTGTGATTTATAACCCGTGATGCAAGATTTGCAATTTGTTGATGTCAAGGTTTGGCTGTTCTTATGGCTTCCAATTAGAGAATCTTGAGATCTGCTTCTTAGATTTGTAACTTCGATGAAATTCTGTATCTGTGAAAATTCGGAGAATTGGGTATGGTTGGTGATCGATTTTGTGCTTAGTAATTTGCAAAAAAAAAATAAAAAAATAAAAAAAATAATAATTTCTCTGGATTTTGGCCACCGTCTGAATTTTCTCTGATTTTGGCCACCGTGTGAATTTTCTCTGGATTTTGGCCACGGTGTGTATATTTGTTACTGTACGATAATACATTCAGTGACGAGGTAACTCTCATTTGCTCTATTTGTATGTGCAAAATTTGATAAGTACACTGGAAACAAGATTGCTTCGAGCGACATTGGTGCACCTGATGTTCAAATGTCTTACAGCCAGAGAAAATTGGTGAAAATGGTGGTTGATCAATTTTCTCTGGTTTATTGTTGTCTGAATGTCTTACCGTCTAGAGAAAATTGGTCAAAATAGAAATGGTGATTGTCCAATTTTTTCTGATTTAATGTTGTCTGAATATCTTATTGTCCGAGAAAATTGGTCAAAATGAATTGTTCAATTTTTTCTGATTTGATGTTGTCTGAATGTCTTATTGTCCAAAGAAAATTGGTCAAAATGAAAATGGTGGTTGTTGAATTTTCTCTAGTTTGTTGTTGTTTGAATGTCTTACAGTCAAGAGAAAATTGGTCAAAATGAAAATGTTAGTTGTTCAATTTTCTTGCGTTTGATAAAAAATACAAAGAAAATTATGAGCAAACCAAAGATAATTGGTCAAAACACAGAGAAATTCTCTGAGAAGTCTAGAGAAATTCTCTGGATCAAATTTTCTCTGGATCGATATTGAGGGGCTTTAGATATTATGAAAATATTGAGGATTCTTTATGTTATAAAATCTTAATACTAGGGACCTTAAAAAAAAAATCCTCTATTTTTTTTACAAATATTTTACTTTTAGTTACATTTAAGTAAAATGTATCTAAAAAAGTTAAAAAATTGCTTAAAATTTTAAAAATATTCACTGAAATTAAAAAAAAAACACAAAAAAAAAAATTAATTTTTAAAAAGTTGAATCTAAAAAATTAAACCAAACACACCAATTTATTTTATTGGAATTTTCTTTTATTTTTAATAATTTTTTTCTCATATTTTGGTTTTTTTTTTGTTTTTGTACTTTTTAAAAAAATTGACCGGTAGATTGATTAACCAGACACCAAAATACGGAACATGTGAAAAACACATCCAACGAATCACAAGTCTTTCTCTGTCGCCTCCTCACAAATTGGCAGCTATTCGAAATCAATCATTGTTCATCTCCGTTGCGCCCCCTTGTCGTTGATTCTTGAATTTTTGGTTGATTTCTTCCCAAAAATGGTACTCTCGATTACCCTTTCTCTGATTTTTCAACAAATTTTCTGTTTGGTTCTCGGGAAAAATGAAATGAAAATAAAACAATTTTTTTTTTGTTGGTTTGTGATTGGCAGATCCGGTTCATACTGCTTCAAAACCGGCAAGGGAAGACTCGTCTCGCCAAGTATTACATTCCTCTCGAGGAATCCGAGAAGCACAAGGTCGAATACGAGGTAAATTCATGTTTTGATTTTGTTTTCTTCAGTATATTCTTGTTTCTTGGTTAAAGAATTGAGGATTTTGAGTTTTGTTACCTTGTTTGTAGGTTCATCGGTTGGTTGTGAACAGAGATCCCAAGTTCACCAATTTTGTTGAGGTTGGTATTGTATAAACCCTAGCCATTTAGATTTGAATTGAAAGAAAACAAGGATTGTAATGTTATTAGAATCTGATGCACACACCAAGGTTGGGGTGCATATCTTTTCTGTTAGTTTCACAGGAAATTCTAACCAAGCCAACAAATTGTCCAAACTATTGCCCAACTGAATTTGTTTTACACACGGCATTTTTAAACCCCCCCCCCCCCCCCCCCCAAAATAAATAAATAAAAAAAAATAAAATGGAGGAGCACGTCAGACACATTCGAAGCTTGGGAGTACTGCTGAAACATATTGACGCCTTGTAACTTCAATCCATCACACAAGAACATTGAATGAATTGTCTTTAAGGAACCTCATGAGGTTGTAACAGTGATGCCTGTTGGAAGTTGCAGTACCAAATTTGTTTTGTTGCAACAACAGTATTGAAGATGCAGATATGGTGTGCGACTTACTTTGTGGTTTCTATGTTGTCCCCACTGTTGAAATGCACAAGTATGCATGTTCACCTGAATCCCAAATTTTGGAAATGCAAACACTGATTCTCTCTTGATGCCAATTGGTATACATCTTGATAGACACATCAGAAAAACCAAAATTGGAAATGAAGCACACAACCAATAAGTTTTCAAAAGTAATCAAACCAAACAAATTTTTCCAAAACTTGTTTGGTTTACAAATTTTCCAAACAAATCTCTCTCATACACATCAAATCAATCACTTTTTCCAAAACTCTCTCTCAAAATAATTTTTCAAAACATCTTTTCGAAAAAAGTCAAACCAAACAAATTTTCGTACTTTTTATCTCAAAACATGTTTCTCAAATACAAACCAAACAAGGCCAATATCTTTCTGCATCAGCCACATTTCCAACTCTCTCAAGATCAATCTTTTTCTGGTTTTGACCCAACTTTTCAGTGTCTTCACCACAAAACTCCTTGATCGACATGTCAGTGTCAATGGGAGCATCCTTGAGTACCCCATCAGACATGGTGGCAATGGCTTTCAGCCCATTCTTTGAATGCCTCTTCTTGCCCACCAATTGGTCGGACATTGCTGCAGTGAACCACTCATCCTCAAAGCACTGCAAATCTGTCACCAAGATTTCAGATTCAGCCTCTGTTTCTTCACCCATCAGTTTCTCGATGCGATCGAAACCATCCTAAAAGATCTCAATCAGATTTGAAAGCTTTGCATCAATTTCTTGACCATCTTTGCGAAACTTGTTGCAAAATGACTCCCAAGGTTTCTTGTGGTGTTGCCATTGCCAAAGATTGTTGGCTCTGATACAACTTGATGCACACACAAAGTATTTAGCAAAGAAAAGAATAACAGAAAGAAGCAAGAGAGATAACAGAGAGAGAAGATCAATTCTAACTAACTAAATCTATTCAACTAACTCTTCTAATTAATTCTTGCTTACACTTGTATCAGACTCTTAAGATGATCTTTGTAATTCATTCTTTGGCTTTTGTACGACTGTATTGTATGAGATTTATATCTTGTTTGGCTTATGCTCATGTAATTGTTGTTTTTCACAAAGTAATGGTTTTTGAAATATTTTGAACCACCAATTTAAAAGGTTCTTTTATCTCTTAGATTATATTGGGGAGTAGCGAGGTGAGTTTATGTGTTGATCATTTCAGTTTGTTAATGTGCAGGAATTTACATTAATTGTATGAATAATTAGGTTTAAATTGATACATAATAGAAGTTGAGATGATGGATTTTTTGTAGCTCTAGGAATTTTAGCTCCTCAGAGAATTTAAACCCTTTTTTGAGTCCAAATGAACTGTTACTATTCCAACACACTTTCTATTGAGATAATAAGCGCGTAATTTTACTCTATCTCTTCACAGGGAATTGGACTTATATCCTACGTTTTTCCAGCATGACTTCTAACTTTTAATATTTTTATTGCTCTCTCAGGTGCTTTCTTTAAAATCAATAATGTGTTTTTAAAATTTTTCTTGCAGTTCCGTACACACAAGGTTATCTACAGGAGATATGCTGGATTGTTTTTCTCGTTGTGTGTTGATATAACGGATAATGAGTTGGCATATTTGGAGTGTATCCACTTATTTGTGGAGATATTGGATCACTTTTTCAGCAATGTTTGCGAGCTAGATTTGGTATTTAATTTTCACAAGGTTTGTTCCTCTGCTATCTGTTTTTTCTATGTGCCTGATGCCATGTTATTCTTTCATTGGCTTAGATACTGTTGTGGTGATATATATGCTGCAAACTATGTTCTTGTTTTCTTTTGTTCTTCCATATGTTATGGGATTGTTGCTTCGCATTTGAGTTTTTGAATGAATTATTAGTTTCCACTTTTGGCAATAGTTAGGACCAGAGCTCTTATTCTGCTTATGGTATGAATTTCCCAAAATTTAATCTATTTCCAATGATTGTAATGAGGAATAGTGGACTGAAGCTGAGTTATATCATGTTTGTGTAAGATTCCTGAAGGCTTTTCTGTATATTCAATTGTGTTTTAAAGATTACAATCAGACCTTAGATTATATAGCCCTAAATTCTAAACCAAAAAAGGAAAATACAAATACAATTGTGGCTCTAACAGGACTCTAACACAATCATGCCTCTAATAGGACTCTAATTTGTACAAAACACACAATAATATATTCTATATTCTCACACCTCCGCTCAAACTCAAGGTGTTTTAGCAGATAATACTGAGAGTTTGCTAAGAAGAAACTGAAACCAAACGGTAGTGTGAGTCTTGGTGAAGAAGTCCGTAAGTTGCAAAGCCGAAGGGATGAAAGGAAGTGAGATAGAGGCAGACTGCAGATGCTGGCGAACAAAGTGACAATCAATCTCAATATGTTTCGTCCGCTCATGAAAGATAGTACTGTGGGCAATCTGAACAGCACTGCGGTTGTCACAATAGAGAGATGTCGGAGAAGACTAAGAGACACCCAAATCAGATAAGAGACAACGAAGCCAAACAATCTCAGCAGTGGCATGAGCCATAGCACGATACTCAGCTTCGGCAGAAGAGCGAGCAACGACTGATTGTTTCTTACTTTTCCAAGAGATCAAGGAATCTCCAAGAAACATACAGAAACCAGACGTAGACTTACGATCAGTAACATCACCAGCCCAATCAGAGTTAGCATAGGCTACCAAGTCCAAAGAGGAAGTAGAGGATAACAATAAGCCCTGAAAGATGGTACCCCTGAGATAGCGAAGAACGCGAACCAAAGCGGCCCAATGGGTAGAGCGAGGAGCAGAAACGAACTGACTAACCACATGAACAGCATAAGCAAGATCAGGGCGAGTGACAGTCAAATAAATTAAACAACCCACAAGCTCGCGATATAAAGTGAGATCATCCAGAGGGACACCATCAATAGAGTTAAGCTTCACATTAAGCTCAACAGGTGCATCAGAAACCTTAGGCCTAGTTTGGGAAGACTAAATAAGTACACTTTTTGACTTTTTATGAAATATGGGTTGGGTTTGAGTTGGGCTTGAAGTGATGTGTTAGAGAGGTGATGTGACTTAAATAAGATGATGTGACTTAAATAAGATAGTGACTTTTTGACTTTTTGTCTTTTTTCAATCATGCCAAACTTGGCCTTAGTATTAGTAAGACCAACACGATGAATGACTTCATTAGCATACTTAGCCTGAGACAGAAAATAACCTTTGGGAGAAGAAGCAACCTCAATACCAAAAAAATACCGTAATGGACCTAGATCTTTCATTTCGAAGGTGCAGAAAAGATGTTGCTTGACCTCAGAGATAGCAGAAGAGTCTGAGCTAGTGATGATCATATCATCCACATAGAGTAAGAGAGCAACAAAACCAGCTGAGGTATGTCGCAGAAATAAAGCAGAGTCGGTAGCAGAAGGATGAAACCCGAGCTCGGTAACAGCAGTCTGAAATCGATCATACCAAGCACGAGGAGACTGCTTTAGACCATACAGAGCACACCGAAGACGACAAACCTGACTAGAGGGATGGCGAAGACCAGGGGGAGGACGCATATAAACCTCCTCAGTGAGATGGCCATTAAGAAAAGCATTCTTAACATCCATCTGATAAAGAGGCCAAGAACGAACAGTAGCGACAGAGATCAAAGTACGGACAGTAGTCATTTTGGCAACAGGAGCAAATGTCTCTTCATAATCAATATCATACTCTTGAGAGAAACCTTTGGCAACAAGACGAGCTTTGTAACGCTGAAGAGAACCATCAGAATGAGTCTTGACTTTGTAGACCCATTTGCAACCAACCAGGTTCTTATCAGCAGGCAAAGGAACCAACTCCCAAGTACTAGTTTTCTGTAAAGCAGACAACTCATCCTCCGTAGCTTGAACCCAATGAGGATCTTGACAGGCCTCCTTGTAAGACTAAGGTTCTACAAAAGAGTGAATAGCAAACAAAAATATACGATAGGAAGCAGAAAAACAAGTATTAGACCAACTCAACCTGTTTGGAGGATGACGTGCTCGAGAAGGATATCGGTGTGCAGTAGGATCAGAGTCGTCAGAAGCAGAGGGAGCAGCAGCAGGGGTAGAGACAACCGGTGGAGGAGGAGCCTTACGACGAGAATAAACTAACAACGGAGGAAGAGAAGAAGCCGAAGGAGGAGAAGCAACTAGAGGTATAGGAAGAGAAGATGGAACAAGCTCAGGGGGAACAGTGGAAATGTACTCATCAGACGAGATCTCAGAAGGAACTGGGTCAATGTGAACCAAATCCTCTTTGGAAACTGAAGCAGTGAGAGGGGGAAGCTAGAAGTAAGATAGACGTTCAAGAAAGGCAACATGACGGGAGACATAAAGACGACGGAAAACAGGGTCGTAACACCGATAACCTTTTTGAGTAGGACTATAACCCAAAAAGACACAGAGGACAGACCGGGTACTAAGTTTGGTCCTATCTTTGCGGGGAAGAAGAACAAAACAGGCAGACCCAAACACACGAAGGAGGGAGTAGTTAGGAATTTGGGAGAACAAAGCCTCATAAGGAGACCGACCAGAAAGAAGGGGAGTAGGCATGCGGTTGAGAAGAAAAACAGCAGTAAGAATTGCCTCCCCCCAGAATGGAGCCGGAACTGAGGCAGAGAGAAGAAGAGACCTAGCGGTCTCAAGAAGATGACGGTGTTTACGCTCAGCTTGACCATTTTGGGCAGGTGTATCTGTACAGGAAGTTTGGTGAATGGTACCCAAATTGGCCAAATACTTACAGAACTCATTTTTAAAATATTCTCCACCCAAGTCAGACCGTAACACTTTAATTGTAGACCCAAACTGAGTAGTAATCATATACTGAACGGTACGGTATATCTTATAGAAATCGGACTTATGAGTCATAAGATAAACCCAAGTGTAACTTGTGCAGTCATCAACAAATGACACATAGTATGCAGAACCCCTTTTGGTGAGAACAGGAGAAAGCCCCAAACATCAGTGTGAACTAAAGAAAACGGTGTATCAGATAAAGAAGTACTTCTACGAAAAGGTAAGGCTGTCATTTTGGCAAGTTTACACCCCCGACATTCAGTGAGTTCACTAGGAGAAATTTTACCCAAAATACCTGACTGAGCTAAAGACCGTAAGCATTCAGCAGACAAATGCCCTAATCGAGAATGCCATAAATATAAAGGACTAAACAGAGAATCTAACTGAAAAGAGGAAAAGGCAGTCAAAGAGGTTGCTATAGGCAGATGCAAGCTCTCCACCACATAGAGGTCTCCAATTCTACGGCCGGTCCCAATCTGCTGCTTAGACATTCGATCCTGTATAGAACAGATAGCAAAAGAAAAGATAATATCAAAACCAGCGGCATAAAGCTGACTGATAGATAATAAACTGACAGATAACTGAGGAACATAAAGGACAGATGGAATAGAGATAATAGACATAGCAGACGGTAGGACAGACCCAATAGATACAACAGACATACCAGATCCATTAGCAGCATTGACAGTAATAGGAAAGGGAGGATGAGTACAATTTTGAAGTAAGGAGAGATGGGGAGTCATGTGATAAGAAGCATCGGAGTCAAAAATCCAAACAGACGAAGAAATACCTGAAAAAGAACCAAGCAAACCTGAATGAAGAGAGAAAATAATTGAGGCAAATGGGGATGGCTGGGAGGTAGACAATATATGCTGAAGCTGATTAATGTGAGCAGTTAAGGAAGCCAAGTCAGGATCAGGAGCTGGAGCGGATGTAGTATACGCAGCGGGATCAGGAGCTGGAGACATCGTAATAACCAGAGAGAAAAGTGAAGGGGATTGATGGGGCAAAGTGTAATAATCAAAATCTGAGGGGTCAAACTATAATAATATGGAACTTGTTTGGGCCAAACAAGAATAAACAACTGGGTCAAGAGTCGAACCACACAGACAGAGACGAGTCGAAGTCGACTCTGGAGCAAACAAGAACTGAAGTCGACTGAGAGACAAGAGTCGAAGTCGAAGCCGATCAAGAGGAACAAGGGCAGACAGCTCTTCGATCGTGCGAATCGAAGCAAGAAAGAAGTCGGGATGTCGACTCCAGAGGGGTTACGAACCAGATTGGAGAACCCACGACTCACGACTTCAGAGACGAAGCTGAAAGAGACCAAACCTGAGGTTGCGAATCAGAAGATGACTCGATCAGAGAGACTGAACGAACCAAACCCAATCTCAAACCAGATGGGTCACATGAATTCAAAAGGCTGAAACAAAGAACTCAACGAGGCAGAGAAGCTTTGACAATGGCTGCTAGGGTTTCGAACCATGCTCTGATACCATGTAAGATTCCTGAAGGCTTTTCTGTATATTCAATTGTGTTTTAAAGATTACAATCAGACCTTAGATTATATAGCCCTAAATCCTAAGCCAAAAAAGGAAAATACAAATACAACTATGTCTCTAACAGGACTCTAACACAATCATGCCTCTAATAGGACTCTAATTTGTACAAAACACACAATAATATATTCTATATTCTCACACTATGTTCGTCAAGAAGCCTTTTTGGTCCAAAAAGAAGTGTCTATGGTAGTGTTTAGTAGTTAAGGGTATTATGGTAACTTCAGTTTTGTTGGACATGGGTTGTAGGGTTGCCCATGGGTTCTATTTTGGGTCAAGTTATTAAATGGGTTATTATATATGGGTTTTATTATGTCTAAA